AATATTAAAGATGATGAGGATAAACCAGTAAAAAATTTATTAGGTTCATTGCTAAATGAATAATTAATGAAATCAACAGCTCCAATAGATAATATAGATTTAAAAAAAGAAATTGATAAAGTAGCTTAAATGGATTTACCTGTTCAACCTGAAACTAACTTTTAATTCTTTGATTAATAGATATCTGTTTAACCACCAGATTTACCTAATGCTAGTATTGCATCTCCATTAACACCTGGAAATGGTTATGCTCCATCAATACCTTATACACATAATGTTAAAGAAAATAATAGAACTAGTATTAAAGATTTACTTGTAAGAGCCAAGGCTGGTATGTAAGCAGGTGATATTTAAAAAGAAGCTCATTTATCATTTTATTTAGGAATGGTTTATGAGAGTAGTAAAAATCATAATGAAGCAGTGAGATTTTATAAGAAATTTGTTGCTTGTGCTAAGTTAATGGAGGATAAAATAGGAATGGCATTAGGTACTAATAGAGTAGGCTTTAATTATTATAATGCAGGTAATTTTACTAAATCAATTGAATTTCATAAACAAAATTTGTAATATTCAGATCAAGAAAATATGTTTACAGGATTCTATAATATGGGATTAGCTTGTAGAAGATTAAAAAATTATGAAGAATCTATAGATTATTTTTCAAATGCTTTGGAATGGGCATAAAAAAGAGATGAAGCAGAATCATCATGCATTTCTTATGGTTAATTAGGAATAGTATTTTTAGAAGTCAAATAATATGATTAAGCATTTGAAAATTTTCAAGTAAAGTTTTTAAAGATCAATAGAATTGTTATGAGTTAGCTAGAAGATTGAAAAATCACAAATTACAATTAGATTGCTTATTGAATCTTATTAAAATTTCAGGATATCTTTAAACTTCAACTGAAGTATAAACATAAATATTGAAAAATGCTATTTTAGTAATTTTTATTTTTATTTATTTAAAGTGTGCAAATCATTTAAATGAAAAGTCAATCGCAACTTTATGTTTATGCAACTTGGGAGTTCTTGAATCAAAACCTCCTTTACCAAATTTATAGTACGATGATTTAGAATATGAATAATTTTGATAAATAACATTATTTTTATTATAATAAAATGAATTCAACTTTAGAATAAAATGTTATCAGTGGAATTACACCACATAATATTCATAAAAAAATTGTATGTCTTTTAATAATCAATTAGTTATAAATTTATTTATTGTTGAATTGATAATAGAAATGCTACAGTAAAATTTTCTAAAGAAATAGAAATTATTAAATAATTTTAATGATTTTATTTTCTAATTAGTTTCCACTTAAGAATTAAACTATATGATTAGAAGAATAGGATATATTATTGATTATGATTGTAAAAATGATTAAGAAAAACAATAATTTAATACTTTTAAAATTAAAAATATAAAAAATGAATTGAGTCCATTGAATAAGATGAAATTGATAAGCACTAAGATCTGCTTAAAATAAAATTATATCACTTTTATGAGATTAAGTAACTTCATTTAATTGAAGAAAAAGAAAAGCAATTTCAATAGCTTTCTTTTATACAAAAAAGGAATCTATTGAATCATCTTCTTTAAAACTTTCAAAGAATGAAAATGGTTAATGAAATAAACCAAAATTTCGATAAGGACTCTTTAGAAAATGATTAGGCTAAGTTAAGAAAATTAATGAAATTATCGCATAGAGCATTAGATAAATTAAATATCTTCAACTTATAGAAATATGAAAAAGATAATTTTCTAGAGAAGGATAAGTGAATAATGAACAATATTGTTTTTATTTTAATATCTTCTTTTTTTCACAATTAAGGAAATCTGAGTTTGAATAAACTCATGGCTACATTAGAAATCTCTTTTGCTCTGTCATTCAACCAATCCATTTAATCTTAAGTTTATGCTACCTCTGCAAACTTTCTTGAAAATCTGATTTTTGTGAATGATTCAATTTCATTAAATTTAGCCTACATTACTATTTTAATTACCAAATCTTCATAATAATGATAGATATCTTAAGCTGTGTAATTATTTGGTAGAACATGGTCAAATCTCTTTATTGGACTGACATACTTTCTAATGATTTCCTCAAACTTCATTTTTTATTAAAATATAATAATATTGATGAAAATTAAATGAAAATCGAAATAAATTAGCATAAAATAATTTAAGAAAAATCTAACAAACTTTTGATTTCATTCAAATTTGTTAAGAATTTAGTAATCTTTATTATTAAATAATCTAAATTCATATATTAATTTTTATGCAATAAGAAGAATAAAAAAAAGTGGTTACTTATACTGCTTTATAAAATTAACAACATAAAAAAATATATAGTTTGGAAACAAGCACAAGTCTTAAAATATTAAGAAGTATTTAAAAAAGGAGTACTTTTGCAAATGTTTGTGAAGATAATTTATCAAACTTAAATAAAGTAATTGATAGAAAATAAATGGATATTTATGTAAAAGAGAAACCAAATAATTCAAGAACTGGATAAAATTTCCTTTAATTGATGTAAAATATTTAAAAAAGTATATAGGATATCTCATCTTCAAAATAGAATATAGGTGTTATAGGAACCTCTTTAAGATGATTCAAGTGAAGATTGGTAACCTGATGAATAGAATGAAGATGATAATTCTTAGTGAAATTTATATTAATTCAATTCAATACATTTTTCGGATACTTTCTTTTCATTTAGTTAATTGATTTAATTATATTGTCTTTAGGCTTAACATATTTTTTTATCATTGCTTCATAAATTTTCAATTCTTAATCTTTTAAATCATTATACCATGATTTAATAAGTATTCCATTTTCTAAAATAATATTAAAATTTACATGGATTTAATGACATTCCTGAAAATGAATTATCAATAATAAAAGTTTTATCAAGATTTGGATTAACCTTAGTTAAATCTTTATAAAAAACTCCATCTTTTTTAGTGCAACTCTAATAAATGATAATAATTTAAATTACATCTCTATAGAATCTTCTTTTAATGAATCCACTTGGATCTAAATAATCAATTACTTTATCTGCATATTCTTTTATAGCAGCTGTAAATACAACTAATTCAAAATATTTTGATAAAGCTTTCAAGAAATCTCTTGCAAAAGGTCTAATTTTAACATAATATTTTTCTATCGTGTTTCCTATTTTCACTATGATTTCTTCATCTAGAAATGAAGTTCTTTCCATATCAGAGTGGATTAAAGTTTCATCTAGATCTAAAACAAGAGTAAACTCTTTTTCAGTCTCTTTAGCAGTTATTTTATTTTTGCAATCATCATCAGAATCTAAACTTTTAACTTAGATAGGTGATCCCATCATTATCAATATTGAACCAAGCATTTCCCAACTCCAAGAGATGATTTTTTTACATCTTTCAGTTGCTGAAGTATTTACTAAACTACTACCGACCATTTTGGCAATATTTGATCTAGAAATGTATTCCATTATTATATTTATTAAAACGGGGATCTGAATATTAATATTTATAAATGTAGTATAATATTATTGAATAAAATCAAATAGTTGTCACAGTAAGAGATCCTACTGTTAATTAAAATCAAGAAGAATTTGTTATTTACATAGTTGAAGGATAAGATTAAAAAGGTAATTTCTAGAATTAACATCGTTTTCGTGAATTTTATTAATTAAGATCATTACTTCTACAAAAATGGTAGTATTGCTATATACCTGCATTACCGTCAAAAGTTATTTAGGTATGAAATTTTTATCTAAAGTTAGGGAAATTTGAGTTAATAATTGATCTATTAAAGATTAGTAATGCTAAATCATTTTATGAAATAATTATCTCATTTTTAATTTTTGTGGTATTCTCAAGAAGTTTAAAATTTCTTGCGATCAGATAATGTTTAGGAAAGTAATCCTAATCAATAGCTAGAGAACTATGCTGATTGTTTAATTTCAACTTTTCCAAATTTTGTAGAAAATGCCATAGATTAATAAAATGAAACAAAAATAGACTAATTTTCTCTTTTTATATAAAATGTTACTCCAATATTACTAAATTACAAAATTATCATGAAAAACAAAATAAATAATAAGTAAAATTATTATTCTAATAAATAGCAAAATTTATTTTGAGTAAATGAATATTTTTAAAAATTTTTTTATACCTGAATATGAGGTATTATCTGGTTTTGACATTTAGTAATAAAGAAATCGATAATCAAGCAATATATTTTCAGATTTTCAAAATAATTACGATTTAAGTGATACTGAAAAGTAATTCTATATCATGTATATTTAGATTAAAATAGAATTAAAGGAATTTTAAGTAAAAATAAATAATTAAATATATTAGGTTTTAATTGAATTAATTTAATAAAGAAAATAATTGCAATTAGAGATTCAATCTTTGAATGAATAACTCAAAAATTAAGTTAAATATGTTTCTGAAATTTAAAATAATGGTTTAAATATAATCATGAAATTTTTAACAACAAAAGAAGAGGAAATAGAGAAATCATTATAAAAATTGAAATAAGTGATTTATTTTAATACTAAGATAGTTTGAAAAAGAACTGACAATTAAGGTTTCTATTTATAATCTAATTACAAATAAATTGGCTTCTGATGTTTAATTTTTAAAAAAGATTTTTTCAGAGAATTATAACTAAGTAATTAAGAATATGAGTTAATACTTTTAACAAAATGCCTAAAATGTATAAATTAAATGTATTATTAGAGTATTTCTTATTATTAAAATCTATTATAATAAATAGAAAATTAAGGTCTTTGAAATTAACTAAAAAAATATAATTTATTAATTTAATTTATTTGTATTCCGCATCTGAACTAATAATGTACAACAACTTCTTCGAACCACTTTTTGAGAAAACTGATATAAATATTATCAGTAATAAAGTAATTAAACTTTATATATTTAGATATTATTTGATATTGGTGAGTTTATTGCTGAGCAATCAGATGAAAATCTCAAAAACCTTTAATGTTCCCTAACTTTATTAAATTATTGTTTAGATATTAAACCACTTGCTTAAGAATTATTCAATAACTAAAATTTAAAAACCAAATTAGAGTTAGCCAAAGTGAGAATTCCCTAATTAGATTAAATGATTAAATAAATTTTGGATAAGGCTTCGTTTAATGAGTAGGAAGAGTAATAATAATTTGATATTTCAATAATAACAAAGATAAATGATCTAAAGATTGAATATTTTTAATAATATTTAAGGATCCTTAGAATTTACATTCTCTATCATGAATAATTACAATAGATTTTTAGTTTAGATGATGAAGCTCTTACAATTTAATTATCTAATTGGTTGTAAAGCTTGATCACAATTTTGGCAGAATCCAATTAGGAAAATAAAGACAGAATATTAGATATTATAACATATATAATTAGATAATAATTAGAATTGATTAAGCTACTATTCCAATTAAATATTTTGCCAACACTCTTTTAATTTTTAGAACAAGGTTAATCAGTAGTGAGATCTCTTGTTTTATTAAGAGATATGCTTGAATATAATCAACTGCTTCAATAATAAATAAATCAGAAAGAAATAATAGATTTAATGAAAGATCTTACTTCAAAAAAAAAAGATCAAAAATCAATATTAATATTGATTTCCTAGATTTTAAATACAATTAATTATTAAAGTGAAGAGAAACAAATAGAATTATAAATTAATGAAGATACAAATTCAGAATTTATTACTTAAACTATTGAACAAATTTGTCTTTAAGCAATATGCAATTAACTCTAATATAATAGCTAATTATTTGATCAATTATTATTTGCCTTGTAGAATATAACTTTAAGTGAATAAACTCTTATTTCTATGAATTATATATTTGATAAAATGATCCAAGAATTAAATCAAAATTAAGTAAAACAATTAGTAAATGTTGTTGTAAATTTACTAACTTAAAAATTAGATTAGTAGTTAAATGTGACATAATAGGTTTATTTAGTTTATATTCATTTATTAGTCACAATAAATTAACATTTTAGATCTTTTATTTAAATTGAACAAATTTAAATTTTGAAATAATATCATTCAGAAGATGTTAAAATTATGAGGTAAATTTAAATATTTATTATGTAGATAATTAGATGAAATAACTAGATTTAATAATAAAGTTTATAAGAAATTTAAAGATACCAATTTAATTTAATAATCAGGATTTATGACATAATCTATAAGGTAGTCAATGAAAAGTCAAGATTCATAATCATCTGAAGGAAAGGATTTTGAATCTGTTTTAGATTAAATTATTTATGTAAATTTAAAACAGGGAAAATTAGAAAAAATTATTTCTTGTCTTGTTGATATATATTAAATCACAAAAGAAAACCCTGAAATTCTATATAAATATCAACACGATATAATAGAACTATATTTATAATATCCAACCAATCAGATTGTTATAAATTATACAAAGATGATATTGTCTTAATTAGATTATAAATCCTTAATATTTAATTTTTTTGAAGATATAGAATAATTGGATATTCATCAATAATTATAATTTTTAGCTGCTTTTTCATTATTTTCATAAACTATAGAATAATATCATAAAATTATTATGAAATAAATAACTAATTGGATTTTAATTAGGATTGATTAAAGCTAAATTAAATCATTATTGGTTATTTGTTTTAATCTTAATTTGACTTAAAGATAATTATCAAATTATTTTTTAAAATAATTAAATAAATATGATGATGTTTAACTTGATATCCCACTTTATTCTGTTTTAGCAAGATAGGAAAAAACATTGGAAAAAGAATTTTTAAATGAACTAATTCAATAATATGAATCAAATGTTCGATATGATATTTCAATAGAGAACATTTCCTCAGTTAATTTGTTAAGATATAAAAGTTTTGGTGAATTAGTAATAATGACAAAAGATTTTGAAGTAATTTAATAATTTAATAAATCTATTGCTATTGATTTATAAGAAATCACTTATATTTAATGCTTAATAGTATGTGATTTATTGCATTTCTAATTTCTAACAAATTCATTAAATGATTAATAAATTTTGAGGGTAGTAAATGAAACGAATTTGATTTCTTTATTAATTAAAGTTCTATCTGATAATTAAATAGAGAATAATTATGAAATCACTCAGTAATCAAAATTATTGTAGTTCTATTTAATTTAAGCTTTAGAAATTGCCGAAATAATTTTAAAGTAAGAAATCTTAAAAACCTTAATCAAGGAATAATAATTTATTTAAAAATTTTAATAAAATTTGACTTTACAACTCTAAAGAATATTAAATTAAAAATAAATGAAAGATGAATAGCTTACATTAAAATATATGGCTTTAATTACAATTATTTCTTAATAAAATGATCTATTGTAGAATTTAGAGTTTAAATCTTTGACTTAAAGTCTGTAAAAGCTATTGTTCTACTTTAAAGAAGATAACATTTCTATTTAATTTGTTGAAGCAATCCTTAATTTATTCAAAATTTTATTTTAATGGAATAAAGCAAAAACTTATTATAAAATTTAATTTTTAAAGGATAATATTTTTTTAGATTTAGGATTAAAGTATTAATAATAAAAAGAGATGATTAAATAAATTTTAATTTTATTAGTAGGATAAGAATAATATGAGTAATAATATGCAATGAAATTTGAATAGATAAAATAAAAATAAATGGAAAATGAAAAAAAAGATGATTAAAAATTGTTTTAAGATATAGCCAGTGAATTTATAAATAATATTCTTTCTGAAAGTCTTACAAAATCAAGTTTAGAAGAGCAAAAGAAATAATAAAATTTAATTGAAAAATAATAAAAACAAATAGAAAAATAATAATAATCTTCAAGTAGTTCAAGTTCATCATCCTCAGAAGATAAAAAGTAAGTAAATTAAATAAAGGTTGTTACTAATTTGAATGAGGAAGAAACAGGAATAAAGATTAAATTAGAATAGAAAAGACCTTCAAGTAGTCAATCAAGTAATTCTTAAAAAGAATCGAATAAGATTAATTTTGTTATTGATAAATAATTTGATGAAGATTAATTTAAAGATTAATTACATTAGGATATTAATATAAACTAAGAAAATTCTGATAGATCATCAAATTCTTAGAATCTTATCAAAAAAGAAAAAGTTATAAATGCTGGTGAAATTCATAATAAAATGAAAAAGAAAAGAAATTCATCATCATCTTCATCATCTTCATCTTCATCATCATCCAAAAAAAGTTCTAAAGGGAAAGATTAATTTGAATTTAAATTAGAGACAAAAGAAAATGAATTTAAAATTTAGATGAATAACGAAGAAGTTAATTTTTAAGCAACTTTTGAAATTCCAAAATTAGTAGAATAAGATGGAAGTTAAAATAATTAATTATAATAAGAAGATGAAAATGAAGAATAAAGATAACCTAGTGTATTAAAATAAATGATGGCATAATAAGAAGAAGTTGCAAAGATATAAGATAAATAAATTGATACTAAATTAAAACTAAAATTATTGAAAGAAAAGAAATAATAATTAGAATAAGCAAAATTAAAAAAATAAGAAGAAGATAAAATTAAATTAGAACTAGAAGAAAAAAATAGAAAAGAAGAAGAAAATAAAGTTAGATTAGAATATGAAGAAAAAGTTAAATAGGAATAATTATAAAAATTGAAATAAGAACAAGAGGAATAGTAAAGATAACAATAACTTGAAAAAATTAGATTAGAATAAGAAGAAAAATTAAGGTAAGAACAGCAGGAATTGTTCCGAATAGCTCTTTTAGAAAAAGTTAAGAGAGAAGAAGAAGAAAGAGAAAGAGAAAGAAAAGAATAAGAAGAAAGGGAAAGATAAGAAGAGTTAATTAGAATTTAAAATTAGGAATAAATTCGATTATAATTAGAAGAAATTCAAAGAAAGAAAAAGGAATAAGAAGATTTATAAATAAAAATAGTTGATATCAGATCAGAATAACAAGATGACAAAATAGTTTTTGAAATAAATTAAAATCAATAAACATCTAAAGTATAGGTAACAAATAATCCAGAAGTTTCTAAAAATACATTCTCTTATTATTATGGATTAAATTCTTCTAATAATTAAGACCAAGCAGAATAACCTGAAAAAGAAAGAGCCTTAAGGGCATCATTTTTGACAGAATCAAATTATGGATCTTAAAAAAACTAAGAATTTTAAATAGAATATACTAGTTTAGCATAAGATTAAAAAATAAATTTATTAGACTAAAAAATAAATTTATTAGATTAAAAAATAAATTTGGAAAAATAAGAGTTATAAATTAAGTATGATCCATCTAATGTAGTATTATCTAAGAATGAATAAAGAAACTTAGAAATAAAAGATGATGAATTATTTTTATCATCTTAAATGATAAAAGATGCAGTATTATAAGTAGATAGAGAAAATGAAAATATATAACCCTAAGCTGCTATTAATGTTGTATCTACTAATTATTAGATATCTAATAAAGACAATGAGTATAAATAAGATCCATTAATTGTATAAACAATGAATCTAGAAATTCAATAATAATAATTTAAATTATAAGATTATCCTTAATATTAAGCTCCTGTAAACTAATAACTTTAAAATAATTAAGAATTAGAAAAACCATTACTTATTACTACATTAGTTACCTCTTAAGAAAAAGATAAATATATTGAAGAAGTGTAAGTTTAAAAAGATAAATAAAGAAGTTCTAGTAGCTCATCTTCATCTTCAGATGATAAAAAAGTAGGTAAAGATAAATAATAACAACATATTGGTATGGAAGTAGGAAAGACAATTATTGAAACAAAAATTATTGAAAGAGGTATGAAAGTAGAATAATAAAAATAAAAAGAATCAGATGAAAAATTGAAAAAAGCAGAACTAAAATAAAAATTAGAAGAAGAGAAAAAACAAAAAGAAATTCTTAAAACATAAAAATTAGAAGAAGAAAAATAAAAAAAGGAAGCAGAAAAACAATAAAAATTAGAAAATGAAAGATTAAAAAAAGAAGCAGAAAAATAAAAGAAATTAGAAGTAGAAAGATTAAAAAAAGAAGCTGAATAAAAAAAGAAGGAAGAAGAAAAATTAAAAAAAGAGGCTGAAAAATAAAAGAAGGAAGCAGAAAAAATAAAGAAAGAATAAGATAAATAAATAAAAAAAGAAGTTCAAAAAGAAGTTGTTAAAGATATATTAATATTAGATGCTGTAAAACATATAAATTAGGATAAATAAGAGGAAGAAATGGATTCTAAAACAAAACTTAAAATGTTGAAAGAACAAAAGAAAATTGAAGAAGAAAAAACTAAATAAGATTAAATAAAATAAGAAATGTTTTTTTAAGCTTAAAGTTCTTTAATAGTTGCTGAGGCTGCAAATTAATAATAAGTTAAAAAGCAAAAATAAAATGATAGATCATCGTCTTCATCATCTTCCTCATCTTCTTCTAAAAAATCAAATGACATGAACAAAGAATAAAAACATGATTTTCAAATAGAAGTATAAAAGAATAGTGAAGATGACTATAAAAATTAAAATAAAATTGAATTTTAAATAACCTAAAATTAATTTAATGATTAATAAAAAAATTAATCTGTTTTAGAAGTAAAAGTAAATTAATAATAAATTCCTAAAGAAAATTTAGAAATTAAAACTTAATAAATCTTAGAATAAGAAATTATTATTAATTCTGTTTTAAAAAACAATTAATAGCAAAATATTTAGAATAAATAAAATTAAAGATCAAGTTCATCTTCATCATCATCATCATCAGAAAAGATAAATAATAAATCTAAATAAATAGAAACAATTCTAGTTACAACTGAAATATAAAAAAATATTAATCCAAAAAATGATTCAAATGAAATAAATAATATCAAAATAAGAGATTAAGAGATCATAGTAAATAAAAATATATCAGTTCAAAAGGCGAGTGAAAATGAAAATTAATATTAAATACCAACATAAATAAAATAACAAACTTTTTCATCACATTCACCATAAGAACCTGAATTTTAAGTATAATTTGAACAATAGTAAAAATCTTCAGATTTACAAAAAGCTGAATTATTGATTGGTGCTGCAATAATTACTAATAAAGTTGATGAAAGAATAAAAGAAGATAAAAAGAATTAGAATTAGTAATTGGAATTCAAAGCACAATAATAATTAAAAGCCCTTGAATAAAATGAATTTATAGTTTAACCTAATATAATAGAGGAAAGTAGATAAATATATGAAGAAAAGAATATCAACTAAGTTAAATCATATAAACCTAAATAATCATCAAGTTCATCATCGAGTGATGAAGAAAAATAAAATTTTCAATAATAATAAAAAAGTTCTTATGAAAAACCAAAGGAAAAAAGTAAAGTTGTTAAGTCTGTATTTACAGAGGCATTAATTCAAGAGAAATAGAAAAAAAATTAAAAGGAATCTTAATCATAATAACCCATTTTTATTGAGTAAGATAAAGAACAAAAATAAAATACTTTAGATAATTAAATAATTTTAACTAAGAAACAAGAAGCTTATAATTATGATGATTTAGAAAATATTGCTAGTGTCGGAATTTCTAAAAATGATGAAATATAACAAAAGCAAGAAAGTTATGTATTTGAATATGCAAATGCTAACAAAGTATTTAATTAAGCAGAAAATTAAACATCAGAATTTTAAACTTAACAAGAAGTAGGCACTTTTTATTCAATGGAAAGCTAAAGAATTAATAATTTATAAAAATTAGAAGATTAAGAATTAAAAATAAATTTATAATTTGAATAAGTTTAAGATAGTTAACGTACTGCAGCATTCAATTTAGAAGTTGAAGAAGCAAATAAGTAGATGTAAATAGAATATGGAGTATAAGAAAAGAAAATAGAATTTGAAAAAACTAATAATCAGATTATGAATCCAGAAAGTTAATAATTTTAATAAATATAAGTTACTGAAGATAGATAATATATTTATTAATAGTAGGAACAAAGAGTTTAATAATAAAATGAATTTAATAGCAATGTTTAAAAAAGTATTAATTAGGATTATGAATAAAATCAATAGAATCAATTTTAAAATTAATAACCTAATGTAGGAAAATGGTAAATAGTTGTATTATCTGATATTCTCTAAGCTTTATAATTAATACTATAAAATGAATAAAATTATGGTAGACTACCAGGAGTTCTCAAATAATTTAGATAATTGATTTAAAACGAAAAAGATGCTAAAGATTGTCATTAATTAGATATTACAAATTAATTGTTATTTCTATATTCATAAGCAAATTATTAAACATATAGGATGGATTTAGAGGAATGCTTATTGACAATATTTAAGTATCAATAAGTATTGAATGATTGTGAATCACTAATAAGATGGTCAGATTTATAAATTGCAAGAATTAATATAAATTTAGTAAGAATTTTGATAACAGTTAAAGATACTAAATTTATGAAAAATAGAATGATTAATTAAAAAGATATAATCATACTTGTCAATTATTTAGAAGATTGTTGGGATGAAGAATTAGTATCTGTAATTTTAATATGTCTAGAAGGTTATTGCTAAAATTCAAAATGTGCATAATTACTCTATTAATATGAAATCATTAATCATATAAAAAAGTGGATTCAAAAATTATAAAAAGAATGTTTTTTACTTATAGGATCTTTATGTTTATATAATTTTGCACAAAAGGAATTTAATGATCAATCAATCCATTTGGTTGTTAATAAATATATTAATAATTAAAATATTGAAATCAAAGAAAATGTCTATTATGCTTTATCATGTTTATGTTATTAAAATAAGGAAGTCTAATAATAATTATTAGACTCAGATTTATTATTTATTATTTTGATTGATTTAGAATAAAAGACAGAACCGAAGCTTATTGAAATTGCAGCATAATTATTAACAAATGTTTTATATAAGATGGAATAGTAGAAAGTTGAATTTAGAGTTCTGATATCTTTATTTATAAAATAATTGTAGATTTAAAGTAATACAAATACTTTGAAATGGATTTTAAGATGTTTATAAACTTTATGTCTTTCAAGATCTAATTCTTTAATATCAATATCAGAATCTATATTTGATATATTAAAGAAATTCTAACAAAACAAAATTCTTTTGAGAGATCTTTTGTAATTATATTCAACATATTCTGCTTAATAACTACTTCCTGCTGAATAAGTAATTGTAGTGAAATTTATAATATAAAATAATAAAGAGGATTCTGTAATCATTGAAAAGAGCATCACAGTGTTAAATTTATCAGTAAAATAATTTTCAAAAAAGATTTGTACTTTAGATAATTTATAAATATTTACATAATTGATTGAATAATATAAACAAAATGAAAGAGTTATTAGTTTAATTTTAACTTTAATATAGAATTTAGCTTGTGATAAAGATAATCATGCAACAATAAATAAAAGTGTTGTTTACAATGCTCTTGAATTTTTTTAGGATAATCAATAAATTAATCATTTTTCATAAAAAATCAAAACAATAATTTCAAATTAATAAAATTAGGGTGAAAAGATTTAACCTTTAATGAAATAAATAATTTTAGATAATCCTGCTGATAAATTGGCTCGAGGATTTCCTATTTTAGTTTTTACTTCAATGTCAGAAACAAAAATAGGATATTTAAAGATATTACCATCAAATGAACTTTTCTTTTAAGAGAATTCTGGAGATATTAAAGAAAAGTATAGAATTAAATAAGTAATTGATATGAATTTTTCACCAAATTCAAATTCAGGAGAATATCGATTATATAAAGGTTCTAGATTTTTCAATAAAGATCTTTTCTTTACAATAAGAGGAAAGCATAATAAAAAATTCAACACCATATCTGGTTAAGCTTTATTAATTGAACAAAAATTAGAAATAGTATCAATTTTAGAGATTTTATTTGCCAAAGTAACTTGATAATTTTATTATTTAATCAAAAAATAAATTTATTAGTTTAACATTCTTATTTAATTATAATTTAATATAATGATAATTAGACAAGATGGATACAAGATAAAATAATAAATATTATTTAGTAAATTACTTAAATTAAAATAATATTATTATTTAAAATATGAAATTATCACTTTAAGTTTCTAGAAATACATACAATTAATCTCATCGAAATTATTCTGTAAGGCCAACATCTTCATTAGCTGAAGAAAATTAAGTAAGAAATTTTAGAATGTTTTCTTAAACTTAAGGAAGTTCAATAACAACTAATTAACCATAAAGGATAGAATTACCATGTTTTTTCAATACTCCAGCAAGATTTAAAAATATGAATGTATAAATTGATATTAGATAGAGAGAAAAATAAAATAAAATTATCTGAAAAATAAAATGATCCAAAAAATCTCTAAGGTCCTGAATTATGTATTTATCTACAAGCTCAAAGAAGATTAAAAGATTATGAAATGTTGGCTTTTGCATGTAAAAGAGGAGGTAAGATTAAAGATGAAGGAAGAGCTTATTATAGTATGGGAGTATTATTAGATAATATGGGTAAATGGAATTAAGCTATATAATAATATGAGAGATTTTTAAAAATATGCATAAAAATAGATGATATACATGGATGTGGTTTAGCATATAATTGTATAGGAGTAGACTATTAATTAATGGCTGAGACTAATCCAAAGTTAATTGAAAAAGCAATTGATTTTCATAAAAAACATGAAGAAATTTCAGATAGTAATGGTAAATTTTTAGCATCAATTAATTTGGGTTTATGTTATGACGCAAATTCTTAGTTATCTATGTTTTATTTTTAGTAAGCATTAAAGCATGCAATAAATATGTCAAGTAAATTAGGATAAACAATTGCTATTGCAAATATAGGAAGAATAGGATAAAAAGGATTATATGATAATGCTGAAAAGATGAAGGTATTTTATAAAATAATTTTAGTTATTTATAGAAAAGTTTATATAATTGGCAAATGAATTGAAAGATACAGAAAGTATTATAAAAGGACACATGAAATTAGGAGTAGTTTCTGCTTAAATGGGATCCTATACTGAAGGAAAGAATAATTTTTTAAAAGCTTTGGAAATGGTTGATAATGATCGTTATTTATATTAAGAAGCAAAATGTGGTTTTGCAATTTCAAATGCAGAAATGAATATGGAAAAATATTTGAAAGAATAAGCATAATTATTAAAATAATGATACTAATTCAATATTATAATAATAATGATTTTTTTGTTATATTTTTTGTTAAAGTTTGAATATATAAATAGAAATATAATCAAATTAATTAGAATTTATAAATTTTGTATATGTTAAATGATTATATCATTAGATCATATTCTCCAAAAGTTAATAATACCATTAACATCACTTGTAGATATTAAACTATCACTAACCTTATTAATGCAAGTGATGGCTGTTTAATGTCCAAACTTATCATCCTCTGTTTTCTATCCTATAAATAATAAAAATGTTTATTTACCTTTTCCAGAAAACATTTATTTAGCAGCAGCCATACTACCAGATTTTTAGACTTCTCCTTCTGCAGCTAAACATTTTTCAATAAATGATGTAAATTTTACAGATGGTTCACTACTTAAAATAACTGGCTTTCTATCATATCCTACTCCTATTAAAGTTTAATCATTTATATAAATAATTTTATTAAATGGTTTTGCTTCTCTTATATAAGTAGCCTAATTATTAAATAATTATTTACATTTTTAGATTCATTATCTGGATCAATAATGACAGTTCCATCATCATTAAAACTATATTATTTTATTAATCCTGTATGAACTGCAACAGCAAATTTATTACCTGATTAAGTAAAATCTAAAGAATTAGCCCATCCATTTAAAGCTATATTAACAAGTATCACTCCAAAAGATTTAATATCTTTAAAAACACCATTATATGATTAATCCTCAAAATTTAATTTTCCTGAAATAACACATGAAACTAATTTAAATGTTTGATCAGTAGATCCTAATCCAACTACTCTTCCACTTGGATGAAATTTACAAGTAGTTACACTAGAATAAAAACCATCAATCTTTTCATTATGCCACCAATTATTTTTTTCTTCATAGTATAAAACAAAAGCTTTATGACATGCGGTGCCTAAAACACATTTCTATCCATTAGGTGACCATTCACCTGATAAAATAGCTTTCTCATTTGTTATAATTACTAAATCTTTGCTCCATATATTATTATTATTTCTATATACAAAAACCTATCATTATCTTATTATTTACACTTCTATCATCACTTCCTATTAAAATCTTATTATCAACTGACCAAGATAACACATTAATTTTTTATGACGCATCCTTTAATGTAGCTACTCTTTACCATGTTCCAACTTTCTCCAATTAACCTACTTTGAAAATATCAGCATTGCTTGTATTCTTAATAGAAACAGCAACATATTAGCCATCTGGTGACCAAGTATGAGTTATTAACTTTTGTTATTTCAGATAGGATTCAGTCATTATTGTTTAATAAATAAATATATATTCTAAAATATATATTACAATCCATAATTTTATATAAATATTATTTAATTAACTTTTATCTATTTATTACATACCTCGGAATATTCTCACATCATTATTCATAATCTTATACACTCTTATTTCAAAATTAAAATTATTTTCATTCTATATTTTTCATTTATTATATTTATATTACATTTTACAAAACTATTCTTTAGATTAATTTATTCAACTCTAAATTCACTTCACATATCTCAATTTCAAATCATTATTGCCTTCTTTTTTCTAATTTAAAAAAAATGTCTATAATTAAAGCACCTTTAACTCCTTAAATATTTTATTCACTTAAATAGAACAATAATCATCTTAAAATTATCTAATCAGTTAAAGTCAAAAATACAGAAGTCAATTATTGATGACTAAGATGAATAATTCACTGTGATCAAATAAAAAACTAATTAAGGAGACCTTTCACAAATTGATATTGAAAATTTATTTTATTAAAATCAAACAAAATTTTGGATTTATCATATAAATTATCTCAAAATGAAACTTAAATTTTATAAATAATAATGACTAATCTAATTCATTATAAATAAGAAACTTTACTAATAAAAATGTGATATCTAATTAATCAATCAAATATTTGCTGTTTTTGTGGTGAAAAAATATATTTTCTATTTGCTAATGTTCTTTTGCTCATCAAAAATGTGTTAATGATTATCTATAATAAATTCCCAATCTAGAACAAATCTAATGCAAAAAATGTAATCAATATAGACATGTCAATGGTGTTATTTAATTCGATTTTATTTAATGGAATAAAAGTAAATTCTCTTTAATATTGGATTTATAATTTTTACTTTTTAGCTTTGCCATTTTTATAATATTAACCTACTATTCTTTTTTTGAACTGTATGAAAACTTTGCTCATGATAGGATCTTAATTTCCTGTTTAGTATTTTTATATACTTCATGTTTTAAATTACTAATATATCTAAGATATTCACTCATTTTAAAAAAGTAAAGTTATTTATCAAAAGATTCGATCCACAAAATGTTTAATTTAATCAGGATTCTGATAATTTAGCATTTAAAATGTGAATCTTGATTGTTATATATGGCATCATTTTATTTTTATCAATAGATGATCTGTATTTTATTAAAATTATATTATTAATTATGATTTTTGAGATTTCAAATTGCTGTAAAGATATTAGTAATTGCTTCATATCCTCAAAAATTAATTCATTATAGAATTAAGAAACTTTACTTGAAAAGATTCAATCCTTATAAGTATTATGATTATATTAAAATTTAATAGGATAGTTTCAAAGAATTTGATTTTTGGTTTAAAACGCAATTTAACAATGAAGAAATTTTGGTTAATTATATTTACACATAATTGATGGAAGTTAGAAAAATAAATAAAGTAGTACAATTCAAAAAAATTGATGAAAAATCTTCTGACATTAAAGGCTTAAGTGTTGATTCTTAAAAAAGCGCAGAAACTTAATCTAGTATCTGCAGTGCAATGTATAAAAATTAAGCATAGCTATAGACATTAATATAGGCAACACACAAAAAAACTCTAGAAAAAAGGAGCGTAATTAATGGAACTTCTTAACTCTAACAAAGAAGAAAAAATAGATTAATCAAATCTCCAAACTCCATCTAAACCTTATTCCCTAGATAAAATCTATTATGTAATTAATTTTGAGATTAATTGCTTAAAATAGTATGAAATTAATGGGGAAGAGGAAATTTAATTGTAAACAATAGAAGATTAAGAAGTGTTAAAATGGATTATTGACACAGTCTAAGCTAAGAATCATTACAAATAAAGTTTACAATGCACAATCAATTCTGCTTAGGAATTAGCAAATTATTAGATTGAAGATTTTACTTAAGCCTTTGAAAAAATGAATTCTTAAGAATCTTTTTAAAGTAGGGATTTAAATATGAGATCAATCAGCAATTAATCTTTTTAAATTAATTAAGATACTTTCAAATAATTGATTGTAGACAAAATAAAATAGAGTATGGCTGAATAAAATGAAAAAAGAGATAAAGAAAAATTAAAAAAGTCTATTGCATAAAATAAATAAGATAGTTCTGATTCAAAAGTCTGTATGTGTTCAATTTTTTGATTAACACAAAACAAAAAATTGATTTTTTATTTGTTTATTGTTACGTAATAAAATTTTTTTTATTCAAAATCTAGATCAATATTATAAATTTTTTAAAATCAAACATTAATTTTTATATTCCTCTAATAATGAAAAATTTTTATACTTGATAATAACTCTATATGAAATCCTATTCAAAATAAATATATGAATTCTCTGTATTTATCCTTCAATGAATGTATTCTTAATTTATAAGATTTATAAAATTATCTTTTAAAGATATTATATTATAACATTTTTTTATTGAAAATGGATTAATATATCAATTTAATTATTGACCTTTAATTATTTTAATAGTTAAAACTAAATAGGGCAATAATACTATTTCAGCGTCATTTAGATAAAATTAACTACTAAAAAAATATAGTAAATTGATTATTTAACATTAAATTTTGATTAATTCCTTATAGCAGAGATTTTAATGTTAAATTAAAAACTTTTATTTATAAACTTAAATAAAAAATTCATATATAATAAAATCATCTATTGATATAAAATTTTCAATTTAATGGGTTGAATTTTTTTTCGAAATTATTTAACTCTTCAACTAAGATAAATTTTTTTGATCATTTAAATTTGTTAAAAATACTATTTTCTTATTCAAATTATTAATAAATGCAACTTCAAATTGAATAAACCATATAATGGATGAAATATTCTAAATTTTTGATATCAGATTCAATTTTATTAATGTAGAGATAGATTCTGCTTTTAAAAATCATATAATGAAAGTTTGAAGAAAGTAAATTGATTGATTATAAAATTGATATTAAAAAGTCATTAGTTTTTCTCAGCTACTATAAAAAAAAAAAGAAGAGATGATTCAATACTAATAAATAGGAATTATCTATCTAAATCAATCAAATTCAAATTAAATCCAACTATTTTTAGACTTTATTAAAAATGAATATTTATTAATTTCATTGAGAAGGAGAAAATAACAGATATTTAAGGAGTAAGTTATCAAGAAACAAAATATCACTTTTATATTAGATAGGCAAATATTAAATAATCTTATTTTAATTAATAGAAATTTTACTGAAATTTAACTGGTATTAGTCAATAGATTATTTTATGAGAGAGAAAATGTTGAAATTTGTCTTGTATGAACTTGAGCATGATAAAAATAAATGAAATATTAATTTAATAAAATTATTTTAATTATTATCAAAGGAACAATTTAATTTGAAATCTTATAACCGAATATTGTATATGATATTACAAAACAGTAAATTAGCTTGATAATTAGAAGTAATTTAATATTCCTAATCAATTAGTAAAATAATACTCATTACATAGATATTAATACTTTTAAAAGAATATAATAAATAAAAATATCTTATTATAATATTATTACTAAGAAAATTTCCATAACAAAAAGAATAAGGAAATAAATTTTTTAAATTATTCCTTAATATAATATATTAAGTAAAGGATTATTGTTAATGTATTTTATTCAAATTTAGATAGTAAGCAAATTTCAATTTAGTTGTTTAATAATCTTCAAAATAAATAGAAAATGAAATGTAAAATAATTGAGAGTATCATAGGGTAAATTAAGCAAAATGATATTAGTTTTAAGAATATATATATTTAATATAAAGACGGTTCTTAAAAGATTTTGCAGTAAGTTATTTTTTTGTAAGAGTTGAAAATTATTATATATTTTATTCATTCGATTGAAAATATTGATTCAAAATGGGTAGTGTATGTTGTCGAGATGATTCAAGATTATAGAAAGGTTATATTTTCGATAATAAAGTAGATGAAATAGATACTTAACAAAATCCTGATTCTTCAAAACCTCCAGAATAAAAAATTTCACTGTCTTAATAAGGAAGTAAAAAATCATAAGTTGAAGAAATTCCATAATAAATTGTATAAAAATAATGTGAATATGTTTTGGAAAGTGAAGTACATTAGGAACCTGAATAACAATAGGTATTAACAAATAAAGAAGAATAACCTAAAAATAATGAGATTAATTAATCATAAAAAATAACAAATGAATAAAGTAGAAATAAGATAATATTATTTAGTTAAAAAGGAAGTAATGAGTAAAAGTTTAGGAGGCAATGGAGCAGGATCAGTAGCTAAAAAAATAAAATTAGGGTTTGATATATTTGTAAAATTAAAAGAGGGATCTATAGGGTCTCATTACAATTTTGGTAAAGTTTTAGGTTAAGGGGCTTTTGGTAAGGTATGGAAGGTGACTCATAAAACTACTGGGTTAATAAGAGCTATAAAATAAATAAAAAAAAGTTCAATAATTAAAGAAGAAGAGTAAAGATTGTTTTCTGAGATGAATATTTTAAAAAACCTAGATCATCCTCATATAGTGAAATTATTTGAGTTATTTTAGGACGAGAATAATTATTATTTAGTAACTGAGTAATTTGATAAGAATATCTAGATATTTATCAGGAGGAGAACTATTTGATCGAATTAAAAAGATGTCTTCATTTAGTGAGAGCATAGCTGCAGATTATATTAGACAGATTTTATTGGCAACATTACATTGTCATGAATAAAATATAGTACATAGAGATTTGAAACCTGAAAATATTATATTTATAAGTGAAGATCCATAATCTTAATTAAAAGTAATAGATTTTGGAACATCTAGAAAATTTGACAATTAAAAATAAATGAGCAAAAGGTTAGGAACGGTATTTGAAAAAATTCCTATTTATAGCCATATTATATTGCTCCTGAAGTTCTGGGACATTCTTATACTGAAAAATGTGATATTTGGTCTTGTGGAGTGATATTATATATATTGTTATGTGGATACCCGCCTTTTGTGGGGAAAACAGAAAATTAAATATTAGATAGAGTTAAATTAGGAAAATTCACTTTTGATCGTAAATTAAATGAGGTAATTGATAGCTGAGGATTGGGATACAGTTTCAAAAGAAGCCAAAGAATTTATAACTAAATTATTAAGAATGGATCCAAATAAAAGATTATCTGCTAAATAAGCATTAGAGGATCCATGGCTTGTTAAATATGCTCCATCAACATAAGTCAATAAAAAAGTATTAAATAATTTAAGATAATTTTAAGTATATTTATATATGATATTTATTGATAGGCAGAAACTATATTAAAATAAGCTTTAATGTCTTATATGATAACATAAATGTCTACTTAAAAAGAGATATAAGATTTGTAAGAAGAATTTTAGAGATTAGATGAAAATAATGATGGTTTTTTATCGAAAGATGAGTTATTGAAAGGTTATCTTTAAATTTAAACTGATCATAAATTAGCAGAAGATGAAGTTGAAAGAATATTATAGACAATTGATATAAATAGATCAGGTTAGATTGATTTCTCAGAATTTTGTATGGCTGCTATGAATTAAGAGAAATTATTATCAGTATAAAGAGTTGAATAAGCATTTAAAATCTTTGATTAGGTTAATAATATTATTTATAATATAGAATGGAGATGGTTTTATATCAAAAAAAGAATTAGAAGCAGTAATGGGTGATTTAGGAGATGATGTTTGGAATTAAATATTAACTGATTGTGATAATAATGGGGATGGATAAATATCTTATGAAGAATTTGTTAAGATGTTAAAGAATAAAAAACTTTGATTTTAATATATATTATTATTATTATTATATTAATCTATAATTTATAGATGCAATAAACAGTAGTCACAATAGATCCATCAGTAACACCTAATTTAATTTAAGGTCTGTCATGCAAAATTAAAGAGTGATAAAACATTGTGTGGCTTAGCTTATTTTGATGATTAAAAATCTTAAAAAGGAATTGTTTAAGAATCTTTAGAATATTTCAGGTTAATGACATTCTTCAAAAATTACAATTATGAAGGTTTTAAATTTATATAATTATTAGGACCTTCTGATATTTTATTGATTTATTTATGGGTTGTAGCTGCACATATGATTAAAACTATAGAAAATGACCAAGATTAATAGGCTGCTGCTAAAAAGCTCGATGAAATTGCTAGAGAGGCCATTACAACAAGAAGTGGAGACAAAAAAAACTTTCTTGGTGGACTTCTTAAAGAAATACCAGGAGAAACTGATAAAATATAAGCATATTTGAAGGGACTTAAAGATATTCTTGCAAAAGAAATAATTGCAAAGTAATAATTTAAAAAAGTCTCTAAGGTTCTTTAAAGAGGGAAAAAGAACATTTGACTCTAAGTTTTGGACTGGTATTGCAAAAAGAAAGTTTATGGGATTGAGTTATACAGGATTATGAAATGAATTTATATTAATATATATAGAATTTAATACGAATAAATGTAATATTTATTTATATAATTATTTTGTTATCTAAACGCGCTTTAATTTTATATTTTATTATTTAATTTTTAATGAATAAATTCCTAGGTATGTTCACTCTTTAATATCCAATTAATGGTTGTGACTCTAATGTTCAATTATAAAAAGGTAAAATTAATATACATTTCTTAAGATTAATAATTAAAGATGTAAAGTGATCATTTATAATTTGAAGAAATGATAAGCTAAAATGGTAAATCAAGAATCAAGCTTAGACCTACTAACATTATCTCTGCATTATATACAGAAGACGATTAATATGTATATATTTAAATATTAAATAAAGTTTATATAAGTTTATCATTTCTATTAAGAAATTTGGTCATTTTTGATAAATTATAATTATATCTCTTTAAGCATATCTGTTATAGATATAACTTAATTCAATTATGTGATATAATTTAATGTTTATTTACTTGAAAAATCTTTTTAACAAGAAGAAAGACTAAAAAATGATTTTAATAGAGATAATTTAAATCAAAAAGATTAAAAAACAGTAAAACAAATATAAAAATTGATTGATTAATATGCAAAAGAATCTTTTATAATTTTATTTGAAATTCTAAATCTTACATTTTCAATCAAAGCACCTTTAAGACCTATTTAACAAACAAAATCCTTAGATTAGTTTTTAGTTGATAAATTTAGTAAACTCGAATATTATTAAAGAAAGACTCTCTTTAAAAATCTTCTTATTCCTTCAATTCTTAAAAATAATTAGGTTAATGTCACTAAACAAAAATTAATTTAAATTGAACAATAAGTAAATCGAGATGATATAGAATATTAATCTATATCTAAAATGGAATAAGAAGAACAAGCTAAAAATTTTTTTAGTGTTAATGAATAATAATCATTTGAATTTACAAATTGTAAATAGCCTGAAGATTTAAACAGATAGTTATTTGATTACTAAGCTTAAGCAGTTAATTGGATGTTATATCGCGAATAAAGATAAACTGCTTAAGTACTAAATCTTTCAGATTCAAACTAAACTCTAAATAAGATGTGGAGTTAAATAAAACTTAATGAAAATGAATACATTTATTTTAATGAATTAACTGGTCAATTTTCATAAAATGCTATACCTTAAAAAGAAGTAAAGGGTGGAATTTTAGCAGATGCTATGGGTTTAGGAAAAACTATTTGTTCACTTGCCTTAATACTTTTATCAAGAGAAATGAAATAATAATAATAATAATCGAATGATGATAATTAAGAACCATTCAAAAAAAAAGTAAAACTTGAAAAAAAATAAGCAAATACACTTTTGGTAGTTGAATTAAATATTTTTGAGCATTGGTTATAAGAAATTAAGAGTCATACCAAGCTTAATAAATTAGAAGTTTATGAATTTTATAAAAAAGAATCAAGATCTAAAAATATTAAATTGGAAATTTACGATATTGTGATTACAACTTATGGAGTTCTAAAATAAGACTATAATAAAAATTAGTTATTGTATAATTATGAATGGGAAAGAATTATTTTAGATGAAGCTCATGTAATTAAAAGTAAAAATACTACTAGTGCAAAGGCAGCATCTTTTATTGAAGCTCAATGTAGATGGTGTTTAACAGGAACTCCTATTTAAAATAATTTAGAAGATTTGTTTAGTCTTTTTCTTTTTCTGAAAATCGAAACTTTCTCAGATTTTCATTGGTTCAATCATTATATAAACAAGTAATAGAATTAAGTCATTAAGTTCAATCTATTACATCAAATAATAAAACCTATCTTATTAAGAAGAAATAAAGAAACAAAATAAATTTAAATTTCATTAAATTTACCTAACAAATAACATTTTATTATTAGTGTTAAAATGTCAAAAAATGAATAATAATGTATATTTTATTATTTATTATAGTCTATAATACATTATATTCTAATACTTGTTAGTAAATAAAAGAATATTTTGGTATAGGATTAAAATAAAAGCCTATTAAAACTAAATATGTGCATGTTTTTTAACTACTTTCATTATTGAGATTAAGTTGTGATCATATAGGAATTGTAGCTCGCAAACTTATAAATAAATAAATAAAATTGTAAGAAGCAAATAAATCAAAATGTGAATAAATGATAAAAAGATTTATTGAAAATGCTTAATTCAGTTTAGAATAAAGTTTAAAAGCTGCTATTTTATAATTATAAGAGAAATAAGAGAAAGTTCGTTAAAAAAATTAAGAAGAAGAAATTGAAGAAGAAGGTGATAATTTTTCAATTTAAGATGAATTTTATGAAAATGATTCAACTAATGATGAGAATGAATAAGAACAATAAATGGATGAAGGATTAATCGAAATAGAATTAAGAAATCGTATCCAATAATTAGAGCAAGTTAAATAGGATAAAGAAGATCCATAATTAAATTAGAAAAAATATGAAAATTTTTTTGAAAAAGTAAAGAATGATGATTGCACTATTTGTAGAGAGGCTTTTAAGAAAATAAATTAAGTATATTATCTAGGTTGTACACATTTATATTGTAGCGATTGTTTTGAAAAATATGAAGGGTTTAAGTAAAAGGTATCTTGTCCTTAATGTCGAAGAGAAATAGATAAAAATACTAAAATTAAAATAGGTTATTAATTTTCCGTTCAAGAAAATATTTAATAGCAAGAACAGTAAAATAAATAGTCAAAAGAAAACTTTATATCCCCTAAATAAGATTCCTACAAAGAAAGCTCAAAAATAAATGAAATTCTCAAATATGTAGAATATGTTTAGAATAGAAATGAGAAAGTGGTTATTTTTACCTAATGGTTGAGTATTTTGAACTTTATTGAAGGTAAATTAAGAATAAAAGGAATTTAATTTAGGAATATATAAGGAAAGATGGATAAAAACTAAAGAAAAGCATCTATAAATGATTTTTTTGAAAAAAATATTACTGTTATGCTAATATCATTAAAGGCAGGTGCTTATGGTATTAATCTTTCTTGCGCAAATCATGTTTTATTGGTAGATCCTTGGTGGAATCCAGCAATAGAGTATAAATATAAATTATTTTAGAGATTAAGCTGTAGAGAGAGTTCATAGATTAGGATAATTAAAAAATGTTTAAATACTTAGTTTTGTTTGTGAAAATACTATAGAAGAAAGAGTATTATAATTGCATAAAATTAAAAGAAAACTATTTTAAGATGCTCTCCATTTAAAATTACCAGATAAAGAATTTAAATTTTAAGATTAAATTGAATTAGTTATGAATTAAAAATTAGATTCTTGATTTGATAAATAAAAATTAATTTTTTATTACAATATAATTTAATCACTATAGATTAAGTAGATCTTGAATTACAGCTTTATTTAGTTTACGTCTATATAAAATATATTAAATTATATACTTTTTTGTTACACCAAAGTTTATAAAATCAAATTTGACAATATTTTCGCTTATTTTAATCTCCATTTAATCTTCGATGAGTTATGGTTTGCTTTATTGTTTTTTTTCATGATATTTTTAGGAAAAATTTTGAAGTGATTGCCAAGTTCCATTTGCTGATTCTCTGAATCCTTCTCCATCATGAATAAACCACCTTAAATAATATAATTAAAATACTCATTATTTTTATAAATAATTGAAGCTTATTTTCTTGAGACTGTATTGATATTAACTAATACATCACATTCTTAGGATCTACCAATTTTGTATACAGATTCTGAATTATAGTTAGCAACAAAAATATGATTTTATATTTAATGAATTGCTGAATTATCGAATGTAATTTTTAAATAAGGTCTATCATATTCGCTTAGTTTTTATGAAGTTCTTGATTTTTATTTAGTAGTTTTAATTTCATTAATAGCTATATTGAACATTTCTGTTTCCTCTATTGTTAATCCATGAATTTTAGCTCCTTTTCTTAAATGTTCTTTAGCCAAAGCATTAAAGAAATAATTTTAATCTTTGACCTTTTTAGATTTTATTTATTTTGGTTGAGATTTCATTTCCAAAACATTGAAAAAAGTATCTGCACCTATTAAATATGTATTTTCTGATTCAATATTTCTTATTTAATCTTTTTTTATTTTCATAAAAGTTCCTGTTCTAGTTCCATTATCACTTATATAAAATTAAGGTTTATTTCTAAGATTAATTAAAGATTTACTTAATAAAAGAATAAATGTGCTTAACAACTGAAAAAGGTAGTTTTGATGCATGTGGATTATTCCTAAAAAGAGAAAAGAATAGGAATAGAGGTTTAGTGAGAGTATTTGAGAAAGCGAATCCCTTATCTGTTAAAATTTTACAATGAACTTTTTCAACATTCTTATCACCATGTGGTAAATCTTAAATAATTTATTAAAATTAATACAGATGTCACAATTATCTTATTTATCATCTTACTGTTTTTTTCTGCCAATTATTATTTCTTTTTTATAATTAGATCCCAAAATTCTAAATGATTATAAATAACAATACCTATCATTTTAAAGTATAAATTCTTAGTCAGTTTAACTTGAATGTTATTTATATATAGTAATTCGAATGTGAGGTTCATTTTCATTCAAATTGTTATTTTAATGAGTTATTTTTTATACTGGTTATTCTTGTTGCATAATCTAATCTGAAAAAATCATTGATTCTCTGTTAGTTTATGGTTGTATCATCTAAGAGTGAATTTAGTTCAGTGGGTGCTGTATCTATAAACAAATTATTGATTATTAACTTACATTATCATCTTCTATAATAATACAATTATCTTATGAGTTTCCAGGGACTGTTGGATAATAAATTGGACTCATTTACTAAGGAAAATTGCAAATTGGATATTAAGGGACCATTGGCATAGCTAGTTGATGAATATAAGGTAAGTAATAAACTATAAAATTAAATGTCATTTTATTACATAATTAGAGTGGCTTTGGTTGAAGTTGGTAACTCATTCTAAGCAATTTTTTTGAATAAAAATAAATATTTTTTATAATTCCTAGCTTTAATTAGCTTATATATGAGTAAAAAATCAGAAACTTATTCTTATTATTTTATGTTTTATTATTAACATTGCAATTATTGTGTCAGATTCAATCGCTTAGAATTCTCTTATCAAATTTAAAACTTATTTAAAAATCAATCATGATATCCTAATATAAATATATATTATTATCAGAATTTGTATTATTTCATTTTACTTCCATATTATTTCATTAAATTATGTAAATGATAAAAGCTCTTCAATTATAATAGATAAGTTAAACACCAATCAAATAATTATTAAAAATATAATACTATGATAAGAAAGATCCTGATAAAATCACTATAAAATTAATGACAAATATTGGATATTTAAATAATTGATAAAAATGATTACATTTCGACAAACTAATCTATATTTATTTTTAATCTCAAAATTTAATTTCTTTCTTGAAAATATCATTATGTAAAACTAAGCATATTAGTTATTGAGTAAATGATAAATGACTAAAAAGAAATAAATTTGTTTAACAAATAATTTTTGTTAGAAATTATTTCTTCTTAGAATGAATGATTAAAATAAAGATTATATCTAATATAATATGAATTATATAAAACAAAATGTACATGAAAATATATTCATATTTTATATAAATGGATATTTTAATCCCAACTACATGAAGCTATAATTTTTCCAGTTCCATGAAATTCAATAGCAGTAACTCTTTATTTATGTCCAATTAAATTAAACAAAGGATTATAAAATGCTCCTTTCCTTTCAGTTTACCAAACTCTTGCAGCTCCATCTCTTGCCCCTGTAGCAAATCTTCTTTTATCTTTATCGAAATTTAAACAATGAACCTATTTCTATAATTAAACTATCATACACTATCACAATGCACAGGAGATTAGTTCACCTTTGTTAATTCTTTCTTCTTACCATCAAAATTATACTCACTAATACTTTAATTCTTTTATTATAATATTTAATTACTTTTGAAGCTACAAATAATTTATAATTGTCTTCTGACATTTTTAAAGACTAAATCACATAACATTTATTCTTCTATGTAGGTTTTGTATTTGAAATTTCTTCTATTTTCTAACTATCATAAGCCTTGATAACTCCCATAGAATCTCCAGTAAAAAAGTATTTACTCTATTGACTAAAATTAATGTTGTAAACTATATCCATTGAAACTATAATTTATTTTTACTTATTTACTTTATAAATCTTTGATAAGTTTCAATTTTCTTAAATCCCAAAGAATTAAATGACCATCTTATCCTCCACTAGCTAGATATAATCCATTATCACTCACTTGAATCCAATATATCTAATTCATTAATCCATATCATACTCTATTTTTATGTTCTTTTAAAGCTTATATATTCTTTCCACTTTTTGCATCCCAAACTAAAATTGATTTATCAGGAGATCCGCTAAAAATTTATTTTCCATCAAGCGAATAACTAATTGACCAAATTCCTTCTCTAAATATATATAAATGAATAATACTTATGTCCTGAAAATTTGGCTGATTCTTTTTACTTAGTAACATCCCATAGTTTTATTAATTTATCATGAGAACCTGTTGCTAACTCTGATTGATTCTAAGGATTAAATTACAAACATTCAATAGAATTAGAATGCGCCTATAAATTAAACTATATTTTACTTATTAAAACTTTTGAAATGGTTCTATAGAGTTGTCTAACCAATTTTCTTACGATTACATTTTATTATTATTGATAAAATTAATATCAATAATTAATTCTAATCTTTTTATTGATCTATATCATTTGGCTATCCATTTCAAAACATTAAATTGTAAAAAATTACTTCATTCAAACTTTGAAATTAGATTGAATAATATTTGAAGAATTCATTTTTTTTAAACAAAGAATTAATATAAAATAATTTATATTTATCAAATGTTCATATTCTATATAAATATATTTAAATTAATATTTTTATAATAAAGGATTTCAAATTAAATGGAGTTAGAATTTTGAAGATTCTAAAAATAATGCTCCTTTCCATGTTCTAAAAAAAGATTAAAATAGAAAAATTATCTTTCTAATTAACGATCTTTGAACACACCTTTTAATAGGAGTGCAAAATAGCTTATAAGAATTATATAATAAAATTTAGATTTCCTATTATAGATAAAATAAATTTGGATACTAAATCAATATAATAGCAATTTGCTGAAAATTGTGATTAAAACAAGTTGATAGAAAATCAAACTTAACAAAATAAAATTTAACAAGAACTTCTCTAGAAATGGAAGAGGAAAATAAAGAAAATATAGATTAAATTCTTTTATAACAACCTTTTTATAAGGATAACAAAAGAGGAACACCTTCGTAAATCAATAATTTCGGATAATCTCATTGGCAAATCTAAAATAAATTGAATGAACAAAATTTTTGACCTATTTATTTATTTTAATCTTTATATTCAAGTATTTAATAATATTTGGTCAAATAAGTGTTAGATAACTTAAATTATCTCAAAAATCACTCACTCCAATTTTTTCTTATATTAATTAAGCTAATTATTTTAATAGTTGCTTATATTCATTAGGTAATTCTCGAATGTCTTCATTTTAAATCTATTAAAGTGTAAAGCAAAAATTATTTAATTATGTGTAACTTAGTATTCTATCAGTTATATTTTATTTTTTTTTATTTGTTAAATTCATTGATTTGATTGATTGCATAGTTTATTACTAAGAGTTTAATTTTTCATGTGTTATACATTAGAATTAAAGATTATAAATCTATGAATGATAGGGTTAATTTTAAGTAGATGAAATTGTATTACATCTCTCTTATAATTGACTTTTGTGTTTTGAGAAATTAATTTTTTATTTGAAACCTGAATTTGCTTTTTATGGTGAACTTTATGTTTTTGTATAATTTTTTGATGGACTTTTAGAAAATTCAGTTTTTTAAATATCAGCTTTTAATTTACGCCTAAAATCAGTAAATTCTTGTAGAAGGTCATTGGGTTTCATTTGGCAGTTAATAATTTAATATAATTTGTTAATATAATATATTTTAATATAAATTATTAGATTTAGATGACCGACATAAATAAAGAAATAAATGTGAAATTATGTGACATGTCAAGTGAATTATTTAAGGATGCTTAATATATTATTATTGAAAATCTTAAGAAGCATAGCAATGAAAGAGATATTGCATATTATATAAAAAGAGAGTAATTATATTAAAGAAATTTTAGATTGGATAAACGACATACAGGTCCATGGCATTGTGTAGTAGGAAAAAATTTTGGAATTTTTGTTACACATGAAGAAGGATATTATTTGTAAGCAATAAAGGGATAAATCACAATAGTTGTTTGGAAATGAATAATATGAAACTTCTTTATTTTATAGTTTAAATTATATAGATGTGTAAATATATTTTCAAATTAATTTACGACAAACAGGACATTACTATTTAATAATGACCCATTATTGAAGACAATGATCATGAAAATGATGTCTATAAAATTAAATTATCAATTTACTTTATACTGCATGGTAATTAAACAACTAAGTCATTGTCTATATAATCACACATACAAATATTGCACTATTATGTGGACTAGAAATCAGGAACATTCTTATATTAAAACTTTTTCATTTTCTTATACTTATTCTATAAATAAATTTAGAATTTCTTCTTACTTTAGTTTGAAGTCTTTTAACAATTTTACCGATAGATTTAAATAGAAATAGAAATAGGATAATAGGCATATATAATGCCATAGATATGATTGCTAATCCGAATCCAATAATTAGAAAAGCTGAAAATAAATATCCTATTAACAAAAGTACAAATGTCACATTATTTAAACCTAATTTGAAATAAAATAAAAAAGTTACTATCATCACAATCATTAGAATCTGATTAAAAATATGCTATGTTGCCTCCAGTAAAGATGAGATAGAAAATGAATTAATTGTAGACTTTCATAAGACGAGTGTATTTATTCAAAGCTTCAGCTTAATGTATAATTTCATATTGAGTAAATGGGGGTTCAGCTATTAATTCTTCTTATCTTATGTCTCTTGTTGACAATTTCATTTTGATTAGAGTTTTAATTTAGTTTCGTCTAAAGTTTTAATTTAGAATTATTTTTTTACTTATTTTTTTCTTCCATTCCTTATAGGTTCATTCTTTCACTAGAATCTTTTGTTAACATTTCTGACATTACTAATAAGAATATATCTTTGGAATTCATTTGTAATGAATAGAGAACAGCTAAATATCTGGAATATATATGTTAATAAATTACCTTATTGAATTGAAAAATTCATACATTCCAACAATTGTTAACCAAACAAATAATGGATTTACATCACATTTTTAATCACGTTGTTGTAAACTATAAAAGCAAACTAGATACTTTCCAAAACTAAAGAGTAAATTAAAACCTAATAATCTTTAAGAATACAATTTACCTATGTATTTATATGATTCTTTAAATTAACCTCTAAAATGGTGTTTGATTAATTTGAATTTCTTTTCATCCTCTTCTTTTGAATTTTTATTTTCAATGTTTTAAGAAGTTTCCTCAAGTTCTCGATTCATAATTATAATTATAGTGATTATTATATTAAGTCAGATATTTGAATAATGAATTCATTATTTTGTGATTATTATAAATTTACTATCATATATAAATTAAATATAATTGTTATGTATGGTTTGAATTATAGAATTCCTAATTCTAGATAGGGTTCAAGTTAAATTTAAAGAGTAGATAAATCTACAATAAATTAAGGAAATCAAGTAACATAAATGATTCATAATAATCGGTATTTTGCTAATAATTAGGATAGGATTGATTAAATTGATCATTCCCCTTCTCCATTAATTAATGGAATGTAGAAATTTTCAGTTTAATCGAGTCTATCCACATCAGCAAATCACTCTAAAAAATCTTCAATATCCAAATAAAAATAAACACAATAAATGTCATTTCTAAACTATTTAATGCTTAAAAAAGAAGATGAAGAATAAGATAAACAAGTAATTTAACAGTAATAGCTAAAAACATCTTTTTAATAAAATAACTATTTTACTAATAATGATCTTCAAATTTAAAGAAATATGTTTAATTTTTTATATGTTATTGGTGTTGGTGGATTTGGAAAAGTATGGAAAGTAGAATATAAAAAGACAGGATAAACTTATGCTCTAAAAGAGATGTCAAAAGCATTGTAATATAGATTTTATTTATATATATCAGAATAATTGCAAAAAAAAGTGTTAATTCAGTAATGAATGAAAAGAATATTTTGAGTAGTCTTAAACATCCGTAATAATTATGAAATTAATAATAGATATTTGGTTAATATCTATTATGCATTTCAAGATAGAGAAAATCTATTTTTGACTTTGGATTATATGTAAGGAGGTGACTTAAGATACCATATAGGAAGAATGCGTAGATTTAGTGAAGATTAAACAAGTATATATTTTGATGTAAAAAAGAGGATTTTTTATGGCATGTATATTTTTGGG